TGGCGGCAAGTTTGGGGGCTGACGGGGTGGTGTTTGGTGCAGCCCCCAACAGCAGTGCCATACAAAGGTCCCCACAGAGGAGGCATCTGCAGAGTGCTCCGGTAGCTAGCCGAAGCATGCGGGATAGGGGTGGGGGGAGATATGTCTCGTTTAAAAATGTGTATCAGCTATAAACTTTGCCTCATAAATATATATTAAATAAATACTATATATTCTACAAGCCCTACACCAGTGTGGCTTTAAATTGTGGCCAATGAAACGTATTTTTTCAAATATAGAAGAAGTTGTATTTTTTATAGCAATGCTTTGTGAGGGGGAAGACTTGGTTTTGTGTTCTTAACTTTAGCTTAAATCTTAGTTTGTCTTTCCTGAGAGACCTGGTAGAAACGATTGTCTCGTTCTTGTCCTAGAACCTGATTAAAGCCATCTTGACCTCCTAAACCCAGTAGACATGTAAAAGTATAATACAGCTTTGGGTGCTCCCCTCCAAGATCCTGGAGAAGGATTACTATTTTTGCAACACTATCTTACTTTCAGGATAACGTAGAAAGATGAGACCATCCTCCCCACGAGGGAGGTGGTGTGGCTGGAAGGCATGGCGTATGTTTATCCACTCATCTGTATTAGGCAGGTAACATGTCCATGGAGTTTAATCCCAGTTGAACCGGATTATGTTTGTATGCTGAAAGGCCGACTCTCCGCATTTTGGAGCTGGGTTTATGGTAGTTATGGAGAGAGGGGGGCTCGGTAATGAACCCCGCTCTCCTGAACCAGCACTTTATACCCCATCTATGCAGGATGATGGTCTGCAAACTGGCAGTGTATTTGGAGAGCGATTCAGACCATGAGCTACCAAAGCAGTTAAAGCCGTGTGAAGTTTTGAGCTGACTCCCTGTCTCATTGGCATCCATGTTGAAATGCTGTGTTTGTTCAGGACATTAATCTTGTGAAAGGTTTATTGCAGGTAAAGAAGAAGAATGGAGTATGATATGAAATAGGTTACCTCCACCAAAATGGAATGCTATTGTGGAAGATAAATCGAGCAACTTACCTTGTGATAAACTGGATATTATCTTAATTAATCATAGGAAATGTCCTATTCTTCTAGCATTGCACAGCTTCTAAAATAATGAGTTATAAATACATTGTTTTCTGCCAACTCCAGTGCTCAGCGTGGTTTGCAGAGATTACAAATTAATAAATGGCTGAAGCTGTACCTGGCGGGGGACAGTTCACTCTCTCTGCAAGTTGCATTGGCTAAACCTCAGTGCTCACCAACATTAAAGTGGAGAATTAACAGAAAGCTGGTCAGACAGGACTCTTGTGTATTCACTGTGCATTTTAATCCTAAATGGAAAACATAATAATTGTGTTGCTTTTCCTTTCCCTGTGAATAGTATTTTCAGTTGATGGATATTGTTTTATTTTACTGTTTATTTAAAGTCCAGCATTCTTTGCTTCCATTCCTTTTCCATCCCCTGGGATAAATGATGCAGTGGGGGACATTTTCTCTCTCATAGACTCCTTGGACTAGATTTTCCTACAAATGTGCAGGCAACTTGTTTTGGCCAAACAGTAAGTGAATGCAGCAGTGCAAATGGCTTTCACTCCAGAGATCTTGACGAGGACAGGGGTGCGTGCATGCACGCACATGCGTGGAAGCAGTCTAAGTCAAAAAAATCTGAAGTAAAGAGCCTAACTTGCAGGGGAGGCTGGACACCCCTAAAATTGCCTAAAAACCATGAAAGCTTCTCAACAGTTATAGAAACCAGGCCAGATATGGTATACAATATTTGATGAAAGAAGATAATTGTCATTTTAATTTTAATAATTGGGCAATTTAGAATATAGTTGTATGATCTTTTGCCCCACTTGTCCTCCAACTCGGTGAAACAGTTGGTATATGTTTAAATCTTCTCAATCTGTATGTGATTAAGTTGACCAAGTGCTCAATTTCTATCTTTCATATATGCAATTATGCACAATCTTTGGAAAAAATTAGCTCTTAGAGGTTTTTTCCCCCCAGTCTTCAGTCTCTTGCAGCAATTTCAAAATGCGCCATTTTGCTTTCATGTACATTTAAACCCAGCAGCCAAAAAAAAAGAAAAAAAAAAGCGCTTGGCATTCACTAGTGTTTCAATGTGGCAGAGTTGCTTCAGGTAATCTCAATAACTTTGTGCAAAAGTTCATTGTCATGTTCGTACTGACTTGCTGAAAATTTTTTCTTCTGGAAAATACCCCCAGTGGTATCCTCTGTAAAAGTTATGGCTTCTACAACTGTATTACTGTAGAAATCTCTGCCTGAAATGGATGTCACGCTGCGTGTTCCTCTCACGCGGGAGTTGTTTGCATTGCCTGTTGTTCTTATGGTTCTTTTTTCTGTATCTAATTTTTCTTTTAATCAGTTGTGCACATCTTTTTTAAAAAAACAAACAAACAAGAAAACAGCCCATGGATTAGAAATCTTTTAAAAATAAATTCACACTTAGCAGCAGCTGGATGTATGTCAGTGGTACAGGAATTTGCAAAGTCTTTGCTTTTTTCACTGTGGGATTTATGGCTAGATTTCACATAAAGGAGTTATGCTTGAAGTCTTTGAAAATGTATGTAAATGTCTATTTTATATAAAAAGTAAGAAACGTAATTGCCGTGTCTGGTTTTGTTCTCTCGGCTATGAGGTCAGTGTGTTCCTTAGGACCAACCATCAACAAGTTCTTCTGAGGTGGAAGGACCAAAGTTTCTTACTCCACTTGGCTTACATTTTACTGCCCAAGGAGTCCCAGTTATTAGTCATGTAGGAGCAACTATGCAGCACATGTATTTGAGTCTGGCCATATAAAAACATTGGAGCAGGCATTTTATGGAGCCTGAGCATGAGAAAGGATGAGGGGTGGTCCATCTTGATGATGGGACATGTTATGCTGACATAAGTTCTTCATGTCAGGCTTTATTCATCTGTCGAGAATGTGTCAAGTCTATAGAGTGCAAAGAGAAAAGCAGAATGGAATTTAAAAATAAACTAATTTTGTTCTAATTCCCTTCTTCCTGGCAGACATTCCCAGATGGTCCTGTGTGCTCTCAGGGCCTAGGTTTGCTCAGGGGATCATGATGGTGATAAACACCTCCACTGAAAATGGACCTGAAAGAGAATTAAAAGTCCTGAACACAAGCCATAGTGTTTCCTGCCATCTTGGTGTGTGCGAAACCCAACCCTCTGTAGCATGAAGGGGAATTGCACGCTCACTTTGAAGTCAGCCCGTATAGTCTGAAGTTCTCCCAGATCCCAACAGTGCAGGGTTTCTTAATGGAGCTTGCTACTCTGCGCCCACCTGCCCAAGTCCTCCTTTGTACTGGTGGAGAAATAAGATGTACGTCCAGGTCAGCCTGGATCCTGCCCTGTGCAGGCTTTGCCCTTTCAGCAGAACAAGGAATACAGCATGGTGGCCTTGCCTCCCTCCATCACTTGCAGATACTGTTGGCCTCTGGCGTTGGTATTATCACAGGAGAGGGGCCTTCCTGCTGCCAGCTGGCTCAACAGGGCAGGCAGTGCCCGAGGGGATGTGCAACAGCCGGGCAAGCGGGGACAGGCTGGGCAGCGATCACCTCCTCTGTGCCATGCAGCCCCCCGGCTGCTCAGCAGCTCCTGAGGTGGGGTGGAGATGTCTGCTCTGCTGTGGAAGATGCTGGGGTCCTGTGTGCCTGGAAGCACCACAGCACTCGGTGGGCTCTGCAGTTCCCAGCCCAAAAAGAAAAGGCAGCTCCATGCTTTAGTTGCTGCTGCACTATGTGGGTAGCAGCTCTCCCTGTAAAAAAGTCAAATCATTTTCATCCTTATGGCAGCTACTTCAGCATCTCCGTAAACCCTATGTATTGCTTCACAGATGAAAAGCTGCTGGAGGTGTCCAACTCTCTTGCTGTCCTCTGGGAAGGAAGACGCAAACACACCACCATACCTTATAAACGTGCTCCCCAGCCAGCGTGGGTGAGGAGAGACCACAGGGTGAGGAACTTGGCTGGACTCACCTTTGCCTGTGATAACTCACCTCTGTGGAGGCAATGAGATTCATTTCAAGGGCTGAGGCAGCTCAGGTCTGGTGGCAATGGTGAGGGAGGACATTGGATCCCACCACTGGCCCCATGGGGCACAGGCAGCAAACTACAAACAGAAGAGCCCAGGGAACTGATGACCCCCCTGTGAGATGTGGCTGGAGAGCCTCCAAACCCACCTGAGTTGCAGCCTCACCTGCCAAAACTGATTGGCCCCTCATCTATTAAAGGGGCTCATTAGCTAGGAGGAAGGGGAGGATTGTTTCTCCTGTGTGTAGTGGAGCCTAGCCTAGCCTGGGCTCCAGCACTGGGTCCTTTCCCTGGACCATGGTAGGAGCAGGGCTCCTCCTGCTGCTGGTGTCCCTTCTTGCTCCAGGTGGTGAGTCCTGTGGGTGGGCTGTGGGGAGATGTGCCCCAGTGTGGGGGCTACAGCAGTAAGCACTGGTGTTATCTGCTCTTTTAAGGTACCAAACGAATGTAATTGGTCTGTAATGGCAGCATGTTTGCAAATCCTTCTTGCACATCCTCCTGCATTGGCTAAGGTATTTATAAATCCTTGTCTGGCCTACTCCCACGTCTGTGTAAAAATTTCTTTCCTAGAGATGCTTTTAGTTAAGAGAGGGAAATAAGCACAGGGAAGGCTGCAAAGGGAGTCAAGTTGGGCAGAAAAATGCTGATCTTCAGAGTGACTTGCTCCTGGTAATGAAACTAGTGCTAAAAAGATCTGCCCAGCTGGGGCAAGAGATGGGATAATCAGCTAACTGCCAACCCTCCCACCCTGTTCCAATATGATGCTGGTTCTTCTGCTGTTGCTAATGTTATTTCTTCCCCACCTAAGGGAATGGTCTTTTCTCCATCATTTACCTCCCTGATAAAGTCTATTTATTTTCTACTTCACTAGTAGACTTGCTGCTATAGCAATAATCACCACAGTCTCTTGTTTGAAAAGCTCATCAGCAGTGAGGGCTAGGGAGAGCTTGGTCCAGGTCAATGGCTTAGAAAATTGGGCCTGACTTTGTGACAGAGCTTTCTGCAGTAATCAAATGCTTTGAGGCCAGAGAGTGCCCTGGGAAAATGACAAAATACTATGAAAAAGGGGGGGAGAGAGAGAAGCTGGGCTGAACGGGACAGCAAGGAACTCGGTTCCTCTACAGCCTGGAGTGCTGCAGGAATTGTGCAAGGACAAGAATTGTGCCCACAACCTTGTGGGTGAGTCCCACTTGTTGCTGCTGAGGTCTTGGGGTGCTTGGCTGTCTGGGCAGAGGAGAAAGGCGTGGTGTCCTCAGTTCACTGGCACTCAGGTAAGGTGGTGTGAGAGATCGGTGGGCTTTCTAATGCCTGTCAACCTGAAGGGAGGTTAAGCAAGTAGTATTGCCTTCAAACCTACGCAGAGGACGTAGGCCCCAAAGTTAGAGAGGGCTGTAGGGGTGTCATTGTGACAGTTGGTGACATTTTGGATCCAGACTCATTCTCCTGGTGACTCCAGTGAATTACTCCAGGCTCTCGCCAGGGCGTACGTGGTGCGAGTACCTCCTAAATCACGTGTTACATTGCTTATGTTTGCAAGGCTGGGAACTGAACTCTTATCCCAGCCTTGGCTTGGGAGAGGCAGGGGACCCCTCCTATTGGCATGAGAAACACATTGGACAGGAGTGATTAACAGAGTGATTTTTAGCTGGTGCAGACAGACCCGCTGAAGGAAGTGGAGGAAGAGCTGCTGTCCTCAGCAAAGGAGTCAGAAGCCTGATGCTACCCCTCTCCCACAGACACCCACCCTGGAGAAGCAGACTTCTGGTATGAGAAGTTGCAATTTGTTCCTTTTCTTTGTGTCCCAAGTACCTGAGATCATTCCTCCTGTGTGATCTTTACTGTGATGATCATGTTCTGGAGCTGACCCAGGGGAGCAGCACACCCCTTCCTCCTCCACCCAGTGTGGGGTCCGACAGGCCTGTCAATGTGTGCATCACTCTGCTGGGTGAGGACGGGTGGGGTTTTCCCTAGAAAACATAAATAGGATTGCCATGAATTATCCCAAACTGCACAGTTCAATAAAGCATCTAAAACTTAATCAGACCCAGCCATTGCTAAGTCAAACTTTCCCTATGCTCGTTGTCCACATTGCTAAGGCACAATTGGTGCCAAAAGTGATGTGAGAAAGCTGTGTCTCCTTACAATGTGTTTCAGACCAAAGCCAAGACTGAATGCTGGGCCAGCTCAATTCAGAGACAAGATCTTTCATGATGACTTTACTTGCTCAGGTTAAGTGCCCCAGGGCACTTAAGGTATGAAAGCTTTGAAATAATAGACTTTGAATAAAGTCTGGTGGCATCATTATTACCTGTTGCACTTGTTACTTAATTTTGTAAGTCCCAGTTTCATTTCATTAAGAATAATTAGGCTACTGGAAGAAATCTAAATTAGCTTTTTTTGTGACCGTGCACACACATCATCAAAGTACCTCACAGGAGACCTCAGTTTTGTATGAGTCAGCTTCTCAAGAAATGCAATTTCCGTGTGTTTCCATTTATCTCCATATAATTGCCTTCACCTTGGAGCTCAGGCTGGAGACAGGAAAGCTGTGACACCTGGGATTTGTCCTATTAATTCCCTACCTGCCAGAAGAGCCTGAGGTGATACATTTGAGCATGTGGGGTCTTGTCTCACTGCAAAACACTCTTGTTTGTCTTCTGTGTAGGCCTGAAGTGTGGAGTTCATCCCATCAGCCTGAAGAGCCCAGAGGATGCTCTGTTGCTGGGATTCTTCTCTCAAGTCCTTGGTGGGAGACAGTCGGTGCCTGGAGGGCAGCCCTGGCAGGTCTGTGTTGCAGTGCACTGCCTTCCTCCTGGGGAAGGGCGTTGGAGAGGCAGAGGCCATCTCTCTTTCATCCTCAAGTCATTGAACACTGCTCTCAGGAGTGAAAGTTGGACTAGAAGTCCTTCTTGCCCAGCTTCCCAGCCTGACCCCTCTCCCAAAGTGGGAGGGAATGAGCTGATCTAATGGTTAAGACAGTATCTCTGGCTGGTGTGAGCTAATGCAGCTGCAGAGCTTTTGTGGCACCCACCAGCTGAGGATTTCCTTGGGTTTATGGTACAGAAAGATGTTGCAGAGATGGGAAGGGAGGATGCCTCCCTGGTCCTCTACTGCAGAGGAAAGTTACCTTGCCTAGCAGCTTGCGTTCACATAAGGAAAAGCACTGAGCAATGATTGTGGGATGCTACCTTATGAGTAACTGAGCAGGGCATGGCTCCTTTTAGAAAACTACTACTTGTTTGCATGTAGACAGAGCAAATGCTGGCACCTGTGACAAAACAGCATTAGCCACCTCCCTCCCCCCAAAACCTGATCCCTGCACATGCAGCAGCTTGAAAATGTATGCAGGTAATAGCAAGAAGTGTAGGAAGGTACCGGAGGGGGTGGTGTAGTGAGAAGGTAGGGTGCTGGGGTCAGGAGGATGGATCCTCTGGACCCCTGGCTAGTATCAAGCCCTGGGGAAGCTCTTGCAGCAGCAAGAAAGAGGAGTGAGATATCTAGCTGGTCATCTTTGTTTCAGGATGCTCCAGGGTCTCATTCCTCTCATGCACCACTGGGGCTGAAGGTGGCTGCCAAGGGCCAGCCATGGCTTGGAAATGATTCCTCTGGGCTCCAGGCAGCTGAGCATCTCACGCAGTAATACTGGGAGGAAAAAGTTGTTTTCTGGGCTGATCTTTGTTTTTTCACATTTTGGGAGGAAACAGGAGTAGTCTCATCTCAAAACATACCTGACCCTTTCTTCGAAGGTGTCCCTCAAACTGGGCCATTTCCATTTCTGTGGTGACAGTATGGTCCAAGAAGATGTGGTTATTACCACTGTTCATTGTGTAGTAGACCTGGAGCAGGAGGTCAGTCTTACCTCCACACTCTTGAACCTCTTGCAGTAAAAGTTCCCCTTAGGACATGGGGAGCTCCTGGGACCAGGTGTGTGGTCCCCACTTCGGGAGGGAAATTCCCCCCCCCCGGGGCTGAGTGGGGCCAGTGCTCTGCCACAGTCAGATCTGTGGGATGTGCCACTCCAGAGCTGTGGGTCCTTGAGCAACTCTTGCACCCTCCAGCACCCTGCTTCCTCCTTTTGAGTCCCTGCATGTTTCTCCCCAAAGCCTGGGCAGATGGCTCCCCGGCTGACAGAGTTTGCAAATCAAATCCATAGGTCCTGATCAGTACTCGGGAGCTCTCTGAGGTGTGGGCAGCCCTGGGGCAGAGATCAGGGTGTGGAAATCTCCATGCTACCATGGTTCTAAATCCCTAATTTTAAAGGCCTTTGTCTTTAAAAGACCCTGCTCACCTAAGCAAGCATCCAGACAAGCGTTTCTGAGGCAGAAGGAGAACCAGGGCAGCTTCCTGGTAAAAGCAGCCCTGGCAACTGTCCTGTTACTCCTAGCAGTCACGCTGGCTTCTGTACTTTTAATGCAAGACCAGCTTCACAGGCCATGCTAAAGACCTCTTAATGGGCAGGGAGAACGATACAAGTGGCCCATTTGCCAGCCCTTTTATAATCTATCATAATGTAATTGCAGACCAGTCAGATTCACATCTGTTTCTTGCTCAACTTGAGCATCATTTTTGAGGACTAATGTTGAATAATGAGAAAGTTGCTATGGTATAAAAATTTCAATGTGTAAGCTAAACCTTGATAATGAGGCACCTCCTTGTTTCTCTATTCTGTGCAAAACCAGCCAGTGCCTTTACTCTCCACTGTTACGCTGCCAATGCTGTTCCTGTGTTCCCATTACTGCAGCATTTGCATTGCCAGGCAATCCCGGTATCAGACATTGCTGGGGAGTATGGGAACTTTCCAGTTCCAGTAAACAGCCTCCTGGGATTAAAGCTGAGCTGTGCCATTACTGGGTCTGTTACTTATGGCTGGAAGTGATTAGAAAATGAGAGGAAGGGTTTCCCTGAGTGGGGGGGTTTTTTAAATAAAAATTCTTCATTTACTAGAAAGCATTGAAGCAAAGTCTCAGGTTGAAGCCCCCATACCTTGGTTCCGAATGCTTGGGGCCACACTTCAGGGCAGGCCGATGTGATAAAACGTGTGCCTACCAGCCTCCTCAAGCCAGGCTGCCTGGACTTGCCACCTCCTGAGGCTGCATGGGTGAAACAGCGTGGTGGTAATTCACAGCAGTTGGACTTCCATGAAGGGGTGCAATCCCATGGAGGCTGGATAAGAGATTGAGGGCAGGGTTTTTCTTAAAAAAAAAAAAAAAAGATGTATAAGACTACTAGAAATCAGTGATAAATAGGCTTCAAAGCTCTTGTCCGAGCACTGGGGTTTCCTGGACTCTCAAGTGAACGTAGTCTGGAGAGAAAAGGCTTCAGGTCTGGGTTTTGTCCTGTTTCAGGCAGACCTTTAGTCAGCCCTAATTGCAAAGATCCCCAGGGGAGCTTGCTGCTGTGTTGCACGCTGTCCTGTGAGTGTTGGTAATGGGAAACACGGATGGCCAAAACACAGACGAGTTGTGTGGCATCTCGCAGTGCCTGGTACCAGGCGGATCGGTGACCCCAGTTCATGGCTCCCACTGACTGCAAAACTCTCACCCTGCGCCCCACAGCAATTGCTGGGTCCCTAGAGGAGAGTGAACTCCTTTGCTAAAGACCTGGTTTGCTGAAGTTGGGATCTACTGCCCATCTATTTATTGGGTAACTGTTCTGACAGTGTAGCTATCTATGTAATTGCTAAAAGAAATATGGAATGGTGTTTTGATTCTGCTGGAGCCGATTGCTCTAAGTTTAACTGTGACATTATATTGCTTATAAAATATGCAGAAAAACCATAATGGGCATACGCTTGTCTAGTGTTAATTTAAACTACATGTAGCTGTCTAAAATCATCATAAAGCTCTCAGATGTAGGCCTATGCTCATCTCCTAAATGCACTGATAACAAAATTAGAAAGGAGGATTTATGGGGCCAAAATGACTTCGCAATCAGTTCCCATTGCTTTTAAGGCTTCTCATGTGCCTTTCAGGATCCCAGACTGCAGGGAACAAGGACTGAGCTTGATGTTTCAAGACCAAAAATGGCACAGGGGTTCTGTGAGTCCCAAGGCGAAAGGTAAATCATCCTTTTCCCTGTACTGAGCTGGCTGCAATGCAATCTGCTGGCACCTCCCCTGGCCTCCTGGCAGCTATGTGCTGCCCAGATAGGAACAGTGGGTTGATAGATAGCAGATAAAACAAGAAACCTATTTATCCATTTAAAAGTAAGTACAGCTTTTCCAGCTGAAGGTCAGGGAATCCTCAGCATTGCTGCCAATGTGAAATCAGGCCGGCTGAAAGTCCTGTTACCGAAGGCCAGCTCCAGTTCCCAGGGCAGGAGCGTGTTGCGGGGTTGCAGACTCCATGTCAGCGTTTGCTTTGTGGCAGCAGCCCCTTCCTTTATCAACCTGGCACTGGTTTGGTTGGGTTTTTTTGTTTTGTTTTTGCCAGCAGGAAACTCCTGAAGAGCCCAGTGGTGACAGTGGGGGAGTGTCACCTCCCGCGGGCGGACAGGCAGGAGCAGAGCATCCCTGTCTCCGGTAATCACCCGCCCCATGTTCAACTGGCTACACTACGTGGATTGCGACGTGGCCCTGTTGCACCTGCAGCACCCAGCCCAGTGCAGTAAGTGGGAGCCCAAGGGAATGAGCTGCCGTTGCCAGAGGCTGCTTTACGTGGGCAAAGTCCTCATCTGAAGGGCTGATCCAGAAAAAACACCCCTCTTCCTTTCCTTCCCATGCTCTCTATGCTAGAGAAACGTCCCCTCAGTTATGCTTTTAATTCTTATCAAAGTAACACAATTGGGTTAATTCTTGTCCTAAGCTTTGATTAATTGTCCCAGAATTTTACCCCTCGGTCAGAGTCTGTGCTCTGGCTGTGCACCAGATTCCTGTGTCCCCTTGGGTTGTTCCCCTCGTACAAGCTGTAGCGGTGCAGTTTCCTTCAGCCCCGTTGTGCCAACACTAGCTCTTGGCTAGCTGCTGGAAAGCCATCAGCTTCCTCTTGGCCGTAGCCCTGGGCTCTTAGCCAGCAGTGGGCTGCAAGGGTCCTGCCCACTGAGAAGCAGGCTGGATTAAAACCTGCTCACTCCAAGTGCTTCTGGAGGTAATTGTAGTCAGGGAAGTGGCACAAGTCTCTCACTTCCTAGGCTTTTCAAAGGCAACTCCCTTCAGTTGTACAGAGCTACGATGGGTTACAGCCAACTGGCCGTGGCTGCCTGTGACCATCAGATGGCAGATCAGCCAACATAAAATAACCTTCTGTCACTGTCATGTCGCAAATCGCTGGCTCGGATGGTGATAGCCCTGCAGTTTGCCCGTGCTGGCAGGAATAAGGGAAATAAGACCCAGGAAATGTTCATTTCAGGGCTCAGACACATCCTGGCAGGCAGCGTGAGGAAGGCTGCTCGAGGGCTGCCTGTGTGCCCGTACTCTGTGGCTAAACAGGGGTGTCTGTAGGCATGAACTGGGCTTGGCAGCACCTGAGCCGTACGGAGAACCCTCGAGGAAACTACAGGGCTCCCTGCTTAGCCCTTCTGAAGGCTGGGCACCGCCGATGCCCCGCCAAGGCAGCCAAGGAGAACTGTGATCCATTTTTCTCCCAGTATCAAGGAAAAACTAACCAATATAGTCTAGATTGTCCCCTTGCCAAGTATTGTCCTGCTCAAGTTAATATTCAAAGGTAGCTAACAGTCTTCCTGATCTCTGTCTCTGAATTTGCTGTATATAAATTCAATTACATATGACTAACTTCAGTTTGTATTCTCATTTTATAAATACCCACATGTGACTGCAGTGTTTGGGAAGGGGAGAAATGGAATAGTGTGAGTTGAAGGACGCTATTTGTACTTGTAAATCAGACACGTTCCTGGAAATGTGGGGTTTATGTACCCTTTGCTGTGCAGGGCATGAAATTCAGTCCATCTGCCTTCCCCATAGGGATGAAGACTTCCAGGCCGGGACACTGTGTGTGGGTGGGGGTGAAGGAGCGAGGTGTCTGAGGGTGAGTTAAATGGCAGGGTCTTCTGGTGACAGTTGTAGGAATAAAGGGTAATGGATAAGAGAAAGGAGCCATTTCCTTTCAGTAACAGAAATGCAAGAGAAGGTGACTCTTCCTGCCAGATGGAAAATCCAAGTACCCCTTTGCTCATCAGGTCTCTTGCTTCCCAGAGGACCAGCCACTGTGGGGATGCACGGATCAGCATTTTCCTGCAGCGTGGGACCTTGGAGTGCATTAGGGAAGGCTGCGCTCTGCAGTGCTGCTGTGCACATTCATGTGTGTATCAGAGCCTCTCACGAGCAGAGCTGTCCTTACAAGGTGTTAGGAAAGTACATAAAAACGTACACTCTTTTATACTTTCTCCTCTAGATATCATAAAACTGTTCCCTCAAAGGAATTGCACTTGCTTGAGCTTTGGTAGATTTTAAAGGAGATGAGAATGTCTGTGAATGTTGCTTTTTTTGTTGTTTTTTTTACATCCCCTGTGGTTTTGGGCTCATCCGCAGTAGAGGAGACAGAGGAGACTTGCCTGTCCCCCACCCCCCAGCAGCTCTCCCAGGAGAGATCGTGCTCTCTCCCAGCCAGGGCTGGTCTCTCACGCTAGCAGCTTGCGGGGGGCTTTGTCCTGGCCCCTGAAAGTCTCCAGCCCTGTAGTAGGGTGTTTGGGAGAAGACAGCAATGTCTGTTGCCCAACCTGCAGGGGAATGACCTCCGCCAACCCTGTTTTGAGGCACTGGCTGAGGGCAAACCAATGCCTTACCTGTCGAGCAGGGTGCCTCTCCTCGGTGATCCCAAACTGCTTCAAAACGTCACCGCCCCAGGCAGGCAACTGGTGTGGGACCCCCCAGCTGCTCTTGCTGGGGCAACGGGGAAGGGGTGGATGTGGCTCCCAGGCGATGGGGCTGTTGGCTATCATTTTGCTGGAGGTGAGAGCTGTCTTGCAGATGCTGGATGTGGCCTGGTTGCTGGCTCCCGTCCTGCAGTCGGTGGAGCTGCCCCTCCCAGACCTGCAGCGAGCTGCTGAGGGCCATGAACCTGCTGACCGTGCGGGGGTCCGTCCTGTGTGCTTGCTTTCCCAACACCGGGAGGGATGCGTGCAAGGTAACAGCTCACTGCCCTGGCTCCTGCTGGGCAGCAGGCTTGTCCTGTCCACCCGCAAACCTTCTTCTCTCCTGAGGAGAAAGGGAAGCAACAGCATTGAAAGGGCTGTCGTCACTTTGCTAGGCAAGGGCTTTACAAGGAGCTTCAGGGAGGTGTCATTTGCGGGTGGGAGTATGGATGTGGGCAGGAGACTGGAGCATGATAAGCATGATTGCCTCCTTGCCTAGACCTGCCCTGGGCAATGCTAACAGCAGGACCTCCATCTCTGCTGAAACCAGAAGGGACCTTCAGTGATGGGACTCCAGGCAATGGGTAAGGGAGCCTGGCACGGGCAGCGCTAGTAGGAGGTTGGAAAGAAGGCAATTCCCACCTCTCCCTGATGTCCCCTTAGACACACTCAAGCCTTCTGATGCCTTCACTCAGACAGTCTCACTGGGCCATGGGCTGCAATAGAGGAGTCTGCTCAGTGCCAAACTCTTCTCTGCTGGCCCTAACAAGTGTGAGTGGGGCCAGTCTTGCCCTGCCCTAGGGCAGGCTGCTGACCAGACTGTCACCACTCTCCTTGGAGTGTACTTGCACGAATATTTTTTTAACCAAGCAGTTGCTTGGGAAGCTCCCTGCCCTCTGTCATACCTTGTGTGAACATTTTCAAAGCAGTGCTGCAGCTGATGTTAGTGAAATGGCTTTCATTTTGACATTCTTCATGGCAAAAAGGGGTTTGTGTATGGGGAAGGGCAGGTTGCCAAACTGCAAGTCAGATCAGGAGAGTGAAAAAACAGAGCTTCGATTGGTGCCTATTAGATTAAACGAGAACAGCTGAATGAGCAGGGACAGTGCCAGGCCCCCATAACTGGAGAGAAACAAGCAAGGTTGTGTTGGCTTCTACGGCAAAGCTGGCCTGCTGTGCAACACTGTCAAAGGTTGGGGCTGCTGGCACGGGAATCAGTGGCACCTTTCCTCCCCAGTGGAGTTTGGACAGGGTGACTCTGGAGGTCCCCTTGTGCGTCCGGCAGGCACCTGGACTTTGCCCGGTGTGGTGTCCTGGGTGGGCAGTTGTTCCAGAGGACAGGATACCCCGAAGAGAAGCACCACAGCCCAGGGCTCACCAGGTGTCTTATCCTGGGTGGCTGCATTCATGACTTCATGACCCAGCACATGACATCAGGTAGGTATGAGTACCGGGAGATTTTTTTCCTCTCCTGTGCATTTAGTACCATAAGGATCCAAATTGCTCTGCTATTGCTGCCTCCCTCCCCACCACCCACAGCAGTTCTATTTAATTTCCAGCCGCTGCATCAGCAGCAAGGTATATTGTCTTTTAATTTGGGATGGCAAAACCAAAGGTTTAAACAGAGAAGTCCCCCTTCAGAAACCCTGTTATAACAGCAGGTCTGACCCCTGCATCCTCTGAAGGAAAAGCAGGCGGCTGCTCAAGCTGCCCTCTTTCTGGCTGAATGCAGCCCTTCCAGCTCTGCGAGGTGTCCCTTGAGCCCTGCATACCAGCCCTGCTCTAATAAAAGCCTGCTTTGAGTGCTTGCCAGCTGGAGATCTGAGCTGCTGTTGTGCTCTTGAAACAGCACGCAGGATTGATCGGGGGTTATCTCCTCATCGAACACAACTTTGAATGCATATGGGAGGAGGGATACTGTATTAAGTCCCTCGGTTTCAGTGGCTTATCGGAAGTGCCTTTTATAGCTAGGCACAAGTCTAGCAACTCCCCACCAGTCACTTTTATTTTTCTGTACAGATGATTACAGGGCTAATACAAATTATTAAAGAGATGGTGTTATTTCTGTCGTAGCCATCAAAGTTGAGGTGTTGGTATTAACTAATACCCAATCTATTATGGCTTTGCTAGGGATCCTTAATGATTATGCTTTCAAAGGGGGACTGTCTGCAGCTAAGAAGGTGCCTCTTAATTGGGAGCAGTAACTGTAAGGAGCAGAAGCCCTGTGGCTACAAAGTGGGTGCGTTACCCTTTGCAAAGTAGAGCTATTTGGATTCCCACAGACCAAATGCCCATAGAAGATGAAGGGAAGGCCAACATAAAAGTGGTGTTTTGTTAAAAATGAGCTTGGAGTAGCCATGTAAACTCCTAGCAGGTTGAATGAATGTGAGCCCACTGTGTTGGTGAGACAACTCATGAAAGTTTGGGGATTTTTAAGTAGGACTTTGGGAAAGAAACTGTGTGCTCTCATCTGAGGCTTCTCTCAGCTGCACGTCAAGCGCTTCATGTTTGAAACAACTGCAGTGCTGTACCCTGTGCCTTGACTGATAGTGCCTGTACTGCAATACCCCACACAACCCTTTTCCCTCCCGAGCTGCTGTGCCAAGCCCTCGCCCTGTGCCAGCAGAGCGCAGTTCCCAAGGCATCCTGCGCCCTGGAGAAAGCGGCTGCGTTTGGTACCCTCAGACTTTGGAGGATAATTACCCCGGCAACAGGTAACTGTAATTTGGCTGTAGTAGCCAAACACTGAATTTTCCTTGAGGCACCCACTGAAGTGTTTCCCAGGGCTTGGAAGCCCTGACCACCGATGGCCTGGGCACTACTTTCATCAGTGTCTGGATGACAACGGCTGTGTGTTCCCTGCCATGTAAACCCCCAGCTACGCTTGCTGGGCAAGATAATGCTGCAGGGGAAGGCAGGAAGATACCAAGTCCATTTGTAATACAGATTCTGCACAAGCCATGCTCACAAAATGGCTGTGGCTGGCTAGAGATCTGTTATATCCTTTATCCTTTCATCTGGCCATATCGATGTCAGCTCACACAAAGAAGCTTTCAGCTCCTGCAGGAGACAGGGGAATGAGATGGACTGGGCTGGTGGTTTGTCAGTCGTGCAGCACAAAGCTATTGCTGGTGTAAGGAAGCCAGTCCCCACCTAGTGATGAGCAAATTCACAGCAATTCTCTGCTATTGGTAACTCTCCCCAGATGGCTCATGCCAAGGGGGAAGATGATAAAGCTTACCAGGTGGATCTGGTGACACCAGTTTTCAGCTTCTGGTGTGTGCTTGCAAGAAAGCAGTCACTGGAGAATCCCAGCCCGAGGTGGGACTGACAAGGGCTAAGCTCATCCATGCAGATGTATGTCTTTTACTATTGCTTGTTTCTAGCCTGTGCACCTGGAATATAACAGTGCCAGAGGAGAAAATAATCCTGCCACACTTCACCAAATTAGATGTAGAGTACTGTGTTGGATGTGACCGTGACTGTGTGTCCCTCTATTTGAACAGAAGAGAGCTGATCGGTAAGTCTGGGTGCCTTGGAGGAGTGAGCATTACTGGGTATAATTTCTTGTCATTCATTGTCAGGAAGAACAGCAAATCTAGCTGGCTTTTGAGAAGCACTTTGTGTTTTGCACTATGAATCTAAAGAGCTACAGGCAACACTCAAATAGAGCAGGGCAGGTGGGACTGAGAGACATGTTCAGATTTGTGCTGGCATCTAGTGCAGTGCAATGGGTGTCTCAAGTCTTTCAACTCTACATAATTCTGTGCCCCCTCTGCCTTGTCCCCAGTATACCTATTTTACTCCTACAGACCCTGGCTAGCAGAATAAACCGAGTGCTTAGCCTGGATTAGCTGGTGCATGTCCAGACGAGTTTCCGATGTTAGCATAGCCAGCAAGCGTCACAGGGGTTGGAGACACAGCTCAAAGGCTGGCTCTTCCTTGGTTCCAAATTGGTTATAGGGTACAAGCAGCATGCAGATTGCTGGGTAGCTGCACAGATGAGAAAAAGAAATGTGGCCTCTTGTCCCTCTGTGATGTGCGCTTAATACTGAACCGATAGAGAATAAATATTTCCTGCAAATGTTGGCTGCACCTGCACTGTAATGGTGATGTGCTGGTAATAATGTTAATACTTAGTCATGCAATTCATCTTCTAGGAATATTTGTTTGTTCATGTGGTTGTTTTGGATGAAGTCCTATCTCTTCAATTTCTCTGTACCGCCTCTAAATATTTTATAGGTAATAAAAGCTGAATAGTCTATCCGCTCAGTGTGAGACAAGACCTTTGCAATGGGATTTAGCCTAACGAACCACTGTGAGATTTGCCTGAATAAATGTATGTTCAGCCCACCTTTACACCAGCTCCTTGTCTCCCTCGGGTAAATCCTGCCGGGATGTCTTCCCAGCCCCTCTGCTGACAGAGTCGCACCAGGCCACAGTTACGTTTGTTTGATGGGAGTGATGCTGGCTGTGGCTTTGAGCTCACCTTCACGGCCATCCATAAGGACTCTGAAACAGGTGACCTCGCTGATGCTGTAGAAAATCCTTTCCCCCGCTTCCTGACCCCCTTAAAATAACAACTATCTTTAGTGTGCCTGGGTTCCTTAAAAATCAAGTTGTTGATTTGGGTTTATTAAAAGTACCATATAATCCCATCTGTTAAATTGTCTCCTTTCTCATCTAAGTATTGCAGGCTCGGGCTGTGGGAGCATTGCAATGCTAGTGCAAGAGGGGAAGATTGATACTGCTAATTAGCCTGGTTTGTATCCCGGGAACACGAAGTGCCACTGGCTCATTGAGGGTCCAGCAGAGTATGTCGTAAAGGTAATAAAGGGAGAAACTGCACTTACACCTCTGCACTAAGAACTGTTCAGGGGAGCAGTTCAATAAAATACTGCCAGAAACATCTGTGACACGCAAGACTAAATTGTAAGGTTTCCAGGTCACTGCTTCTTTGCAGGGCATATTTTGTCAATTAGACATCACCTCTGAACTCATGTATGGAGGGGCTGTGACTGTTGTAAGTGTTTGAAGTCTGTAGGCACCAATCTCATATAAGGATAGCTTTATCTTGAAGTCCAGCACAGATTTGAGGGTAAAGGGAAAGTAGAGAGCATGTTGCAAACAATACAGTCAGCCTTTTCCTCAAGGCAGTGTCAAACCCCCAAGCTACTCCTTAGCCCCATACCAAGGTGTCTGCTTCTCATTGTGCATGGGCTGTCTGATAATAGTTCCCACTCATAGTACCAGCATCTCTCTTTATTTTTATTGCCTGCTGCTACTTGTGTGCAGCAAGCATCCCACCGAGCCCATCCCAGCCCATGATAAGTCACATTGCCATTTATGCCGTTCAAAGCAGCAACATCTCTCCTCCCCTGCTGCCTTGGCTAAGGGGTGGAAAAACTGTGTTAAACCTAGGGATGCTTGAGGGTATGCAGATCTGTTACTTGGTTTACTGCTGCTCTGTTGGTGTGAGAACTTGCGGTCTGGATTAAAAACAAAACAAACCAAAAATCACCCACTTTCCATGCTTGAAGGAAAAGCTCTTGGAATGGCACTCCATATGGGACACTGACCCTTCAGAAGTACAAGGCATGGAGTGTTGCAGTAAAGATGACAGTTGAAATGCCTTAAGGCAAAGCTTAGGCCAGCTTCATCCTCTGCAGACCTGCCTATAGCCCTGCACAGGGAGGGGCAGTCAGGCCAAGAATGCCAACAGACTGTTTTGATGCAAAATGTGACACACTCACCAAGGGAAGTCACGTCCAAATTATTCTGAAATCTAGCTTTTCTCCAGCCCATAGTTAAGAAGGTTAAGTGTTTCAGTCTTGATGATTCCCTCTTTCTTTGCTTTGCAGCGGGTGTTTGAAGACTTTGCTGTGGAACTTAGCCTGGGCTGCATTTATGGTTCAGTTACTGTTTATGGTGATGAAGAAAACCAGTTGCATGAGCACTAATTGTTTCAGACTTAAATTAGAAATCCCTGTGGAAACAGGTGTGTTATCATCAAAACATGCTCTCTCTGGTAACATAGTACTTGGTACCACTGCAAGGATGATGTAAGGGCTTCTGCAGTAGCCTTGAGGCTTGCCCATCATAAAACAGCCAAGTGCACCGTTGGCACAGGAGATCCTGCATCCTGGTCCAAGGCCGTGCTTTCTCATGGAGAGCCGGCTGGTGTTGCAGGGCTGGATATGGGGCCATGGGTCATGTTCTGCTGCAGAGCATGCAAGTGTGAGCTGCTGGATCAGGTCTCCACTCTGCATCTCCGTATCAAGGGAGAGAGCAAGACCAACTTTGCTCTAAGTGTCATTGGAAAAGACAAATGTTCAAAGTAAGGCAGATGAAAGAACAGTTGTTGATGGGTGTCTAATTCTACTGAAATGGATATGAATTCTTTATGAGTCAAACTAATTCTGTTGGAATTTCATTAATGAAAAATTGCTAACCTGAGGCATCTCTTTCCCACACTTTCAGAAGGAAATATTTTTTAATTCCTCACTTTAAATCTGCTTCAGTTTTATCAATATAAAATCTTTAACTTCAGTGAAATAAATGTTCTTAACTTTCCTTTTTTTTTTTGAAAGCCTGTATTTCCAGATGTTCCTCCTACTTCCATGAAATGAAAGCATGTTGTAACACCCCATCTTTTTTTAAAAAAAAAAACACTTCCAGGCACCAAACTCACTTTAGCAGAGCTTGATACCTATTCTTATGGTGAAAAGCAATCTGGTGCTCAGAAGTGAACATATTTGAACTGAATTCTGGCTACCTCTTTACAGGCCTGTATGTCAACCAAAAGACAGAGGAGAGTGAGGGGCTGGTGCTCTTTACACCAAACGAGCTGGGTAAGAGGCTCAAACTGTCCCGGGTTTGCCATTGACAAGCGATCTTTGGCAAACTACTACTATTTTTTCCTCATCTATTCTGTGGTGGTAATTTAGTTGCGTGTGTTTACCAAATGCTGAATAAGTGTTAACGCTACTGTTCTCTTGGAAAGAAATCTGGTTTCCATTGGAAAGGACTATTTAAGTGGGGGGAAGAAGGCTGACAAATTTGGATCTGGAATCTTTCAGGGAAGAGCTTTCAGCATCCCAGAGCATTTCACTCTATGCTTTCCAGCACAACTTTGCCATTGGAAATTCAGATTCTTACAGGAAATCTCCTCCGGAATGAAGCTTCCTATCCAGCTGCAATTATAGGACTTCCAGATGCTATGCAAACTGAATGTTCTCAATAGGAAGAAAGGTCTAGCAGCTGGTCTCTAGGTCCTCAGCCTGTACATGTAAAGCTTTCAAGAGAGACTTTGCTTGCACCCCTCAATGGTGGTAAATATAATTCTCAAGCACGGGGGTTGTTTTGCACAATGGAGGGCATTCACACTGTTTGTTGAAGATTAATTGTAATTCCTCTATGAGAAGATTAGGATTACTTTTGTGTACCTGTAGCATAACTGTAGTAGATTACTGATGTCACTGATTATCATTGCTTTGCAGACATCTCTTTTGCAAAAGTTCTTGTTTTAATCAGAAAGTCACCAAGTCTCAGGTTTTGGGTTTGTTGTTTGGTTTGGTTTTGTTTTTTTTTTAGAAACTTGGATTAGCTAAAGCCACAAGTGCTTACAGGATGACATTTCTCACCTTAAAAACACAGGTTCTTGTTCATTTCCACAGCTAATCTCTGTGGATTTTCAGTTCCCAAACCAGTGCTGATTTCAGGGAATACCACACTGGTCCATTTTGAAAGTGATGGGGAGAATAGCTTCAGAGGATTTAGAGCCTGGCTCACTTTTGTTCATTCAGTTTAGTAGAGAGGTGCTTGCTGTGTTTAACAATGTCTGTATCATCTGCAGCTATTCTTAGACACCTGAGCTTATTTTTTAGGCTAATCCTGCTGCATTCTGTCAAGGTAACTTTAAAACAGTATAGCTACTTGTGGCAGAGCTCCCTTCCCTGAATAAGGGAGATTAAACAACTTTGGGTTTTTTTTTTTCTCACTGAGAAATGAGATGACTAACTTCTGTTACATGAAACAAGCAGCCTTGTTAATTCTGTCAGTCTGATATTCCCCTTGAAAATCTCATTATAGAGGAGAATCTTGATCCTGAGGGCTAGTCTGCTATTGTTGCTTTCTACTTTCATGAATGTGTACCAGCTGCTGCTTGAGAGGATGAGTAATGTTTCCTTTCCAGAGTGGGGATGTTTTTTACGGGGACAAGCCACAGCTATTAACCCAAGTCAGAGCTAACTCTTATTTCCTCTCTTGTAGAGCAGGCAAGAAGAAAAGATTCAGGATTAACTACCACATCAATGTTGCCTCTGAAGGATGTCCCCTTAGGTAAAGAAATTAAATTCTACTCAGTTGATCTGGTCTGAGGAGCTTTCCTCCAACATGTAAGAGGATTATGCAGTGAGGCAGATGCTTTCTGACACCAGGTCCCCTTTTGTGCACTTTTGTATGGATGAAAAGTGATAAGCAGGTGCCCCATCTCTCATTTTCCATATGTGTGGGATGTCCTCCCCATTCTGGTTGCACGCACTTCCTACCAAGAGTGGGGACTCAGGGTAGAGGCTGGGAGAAACCCGCTTCCAGTGCCTGAGCCTCGTTTGCTCTCTGAAGTGCTCATCTCCTTAGGATTCAAGCTTTCATGTATGTGTTTTTCCCTTGCCCACCACTTCCAGACGGAGCAGACAAATTTGGTCTCTCCTGCATCTTTGGCCTTGCTGTACCTACTGAGGGAGGTTACCTAGGAAAACAAGAAAATAGCCTGTGAAAGTATGACTAGTTTTCTTGCTGTCTTGCAGACACCTGTGACCTTCCCCCAGTTACTCCCCAGTGGCTGTTCAAGCGTGTTAGTGGGGCTGAGGAGGCCTGTCCTTGCTGTTGGCCATGGCACGCTGCCCTGAAGCTCCTTGGAGACTCCCAGTGCAATGGGGCTGTCATCAGCCCTATGTGGCTGTTGACAGCCATCCACTGTGTGCAGCTGTGTGACCAGCATGTCCCCGGGCCACCTCTGCTCCTCTCTGCATGCCATGCACTCCCCCTGCTCCTCCAGGCTGGGACACAAGCAGCTGGAGAGTTATAAATTATATTCACACCTTCTTGTTCTCTATGAAACCTTCCTTCTGCCTTTCGTCCATGATCAACAACTTTAGAGATGGCAAGAGTTTGGTCTTGCTTGCAGAGATCCCTTAAAGTTAATTGGACTATCTGCTATCAGAGCTCTAGCAAAGCCAGAACTGATGCAACACATTTGTTGTGGTGAGAAACTCTTGCTCAGCAGTTCTGGGAATAAGTGACTAATTAGAGAAGAGCCAGAAGGGATGTATGACTACTGAATAAGGAGCTGTATGGCTGACTGTAAGTAGTATCACTATATTTGCTTTCATTATACAGATCCAATAAACCCTTGCACTGGACTGTGACAGTAGGACACCATGATAGAGCCCTAAGAGAATCAACAGAACAGGTAAAAACCAAGCAGTAACATTAAAAATGTTGACTTTGGTGTATTTGCCCCTACAAGATTTCTCAAAACAGACCTATATGCACAGATAAAGCAGTGTTGACAGCAAGGCAAAATGACTGATATGTAGCATGGGTTGAGGAATGAGAAAGGAAATCCAGTAACTCTGGTGTTATTCAGCTAACTTGCAGCTTATAGAAATATGTTTTATGTCTGGTTCTTATTACTAGCAGTAAAAAGTCTTAAAATCTAACAGAGATGACTGAGTGTCCTCAGCATCTTACTCTCTTGATGCTGAGTAATATATCTGTCTACAAAATGCTTGCTGACTCTTTCTTCCCAGTGGGAAAAAGGAAGATATACATGTGGAAAAGAAGCACAAGTGACTCACACTAGTCTTCTGCAAAACCTATGGGGCTTGTTTTTGCTCAGTGAAGCAGCCAGTCTTCAGTCTAGGCTCAGGAGGTCTACATAATCTCTCCCAGCAATCTTCTCAACTGAAAAATATAGAAGTGGGGGATTTGTCTTCAAAGTCCTTGCACGTTGCTTGTTTCTTTTCATGACCTATTTTGAGCTTGGTCATTGTTTGTGGGATTTTTGTCCTCTTCCTTTACAAGTGTGCTTTCAGGATGCACTTAAAAGGCAGCTTGTTCCTTCTCTGCCCCAGTCACAGATGAGACAGGTGAAGACCATTGTAGTGCATCCCCACTTTGACATGCTGAGCTATGACTCTGACTTTGCCCTGATGCAGTTAGTTGTCCCTCTGGAGTGCCAGGCTGCTGCGAGGCCAGTGTATCTGCCCCACAGCAGAGAGACGTTATCCTCCTGTTCCCGCTGCACTGTGTCTGGATGGGGGATCATCGAAGAAGGTGGGTCTTCTGATTTTGCAAGTTTGCCCATTATGAGCAGAACTTACATTTCCATCTTGTATTTTATTCTTCTGCCCAGACCTAACCTCAAATTTGTTTCTCAAGCAGATGGGAACTGAACTAGGTGGTTGCAGCAGACATGAGTGCCTGTACTTGAGAATGAAATCTGAGAGAAATTACTACTTCAGTTACCCTGGAGGGATCACAGCCAGGATGCTTTGTGCTGGCTTTGTTCCTGTGGGAGGCCAGGATTCCTGTCAGGAGAGGTAAAACTAAAGGTAAGTGCTCTTGAAAGTGTCTGCATATGGATGTCTGTAGATCATCTAGAGAAAGGCACTGGGGAGGACAGCATGTAGCAAGTGACAGTTAAAAGCTACAACTTTCTGTCCCTGGAGTGCATAGGACTTACAAGAGCAATAGACGCAGTCAGTCTGTATGGGAGGTATATGCAATGTGCAGTGTTGCTTGGAAGCGGGACCACAGATTTTAGTAATCTTTCTCTGGATGATAATTTTCATGAGACCTGTGGAGGAGAGGACGTTCTTCCCTTGCACTTCCCAAGTCCCATCTCTTATCCCGGTGAAACACTTCCCATTGTAGCTTGCTTGGAACTCCTCTTTTTCATGGCACTCTTTTGTCAAGATAAACTATGATGACTTCTATTGTTTTTATAAAACTCTTGTATTCAGAGCACTGTTCAAGAACTAACTAATCTTTCTGAAATCATGAAGCAAGCAGGTAAGAACAGCTGAGTAAATAAAAAGCAGCAAAGTAATTCTGACTGAGGCACTGTCAAGCTAAAATGCAGGTTCTGCTCAATACTGCAATGTTATGGAGGACTAATAAATTATGTGTAACACTGAAGAGCGCTATTTAATCATATTTTGTCTGCAGCCTGTGCTCAGTCTTTACTTCACGCTGATAAAATCAGCCTTTAAATCAGTTTCTTCATTGCAGGCTAGGGGTGAGTTGCACCAGGAGCTGCATGCCCTATTCCTGCAGGAGGTTTTTCATGGGCACATCTGATCTGTGACAGCTCTCTTCTTGGCTGCAGCAGTGCCAGGGCCACACCAGGTAACTGCGAGTCCTCTCGTGCAGGTGAGAACCTTCTGGTTCCTACGGTGGTTCTGGTGGCCCCTTGGTTTGCAACAAGGAAAATGGACTGTTTGCTCTTTACAGCATTGTCAGCTGGGTTGTTGGCTGTGCCAGCCCAAAGAAACCAGGGGTCTATTCAAGGGTGAGATTTTTCCTGGACTGGATAAGACTGTGGATGAAAGGTGAGTTTTCTTTGTCTAAATGAGATGAGTCCTGAATATAACCCCTTTGCATAAAATATCCCAAGTGCATTGAGGTTTTGTCTGGCAGACTTTGAGACCGCTTAAGAGGAAGAAAAACAAAAAATAATCCAGGTGCTTTGCTGCAGAAAGTCTCTACTTCCTCTTCTTCCTCATGCATTCTCCTTAAACAAAGCTTACTGGAAATTAGAATGGGAGTTTCAGAAGCATAAGACTTGTTTTTAACATTTCTGGCTCTCAAATTGAATATTATCTTTGTACAGATACTTTTCTCAGTAAAAAGCAGCTGCTTGTGAAAATGCCTACTAGCCCCATGTTCTGATGAGCAGAATAGTTTGGGACAATGCTGCAACTGAACTTGTGTGTGTGTATCTAGATATAATTAGGACCTCATTCAGAAGTCTGCAGGATAAATTTTGCCAGAGATAGTGCTAGAGAAAGAGTAGCATATGCTAGTGAATAAGGACTGATTGCATGAAAGTAATGGTATCTTACAAAAAGAAGAGGCCTCTGTTCTTAAACTGGGAGGGGAGCTCTCATGCAGAGAAATGAGGGGAGCAAACCTGTTTGAGGTGCTCCACATGAACCCAGCATTGTCATACTGCTTCCCTGCACCAGCTCTCTCTATTCTTCTTTCCCAGAA